TAAAGTTTTTTTTTTTTTTTTTTTTTAAAACTCCTACGATCTTAATTCTTTTTCAATGTGATTTTTTGAAATATTTTTATGCTCTTGCTCTAATTAATGGATTTAGTTTTTAAGGAGGTAACGTATTTTGATGCAGGATCAAACTTATAAAGTTATTCTTCACGTGCATAGCACGCGGCTCAACTAGTACATAATAAAATAGCCAAAGCTCTATTCTCCCTTGCTGCATGGCAGCGTGAGGGAAGAAAGCTTTGACTTTTTATTACTCTTTTCTGTTCTTACTTTTTTTTAATCTTCATGGCCTTCTTCTTGTGTTTTTTTATTTTTAGAATTAGAAAAGATTTCTTTATCGTTAGTGTCGGTTTCTAACTGTTAGATATGATCAAAATAAAGTGAGCCTTTTTAATACTCTTTTTTCTTATTTTTTTAATTTGTGTTTGACATTCTTTTTGTGTTTTCCTTTTTTTCTTTTTTTGCTTTTCTTATCTTTATTTTTATTTTAATTTGTTCTTTATTTGTTTTTACATTTTAATTTTTTTGTTTGTTTTTTAAAAATTTATTCTTTCTCACTTTATTCCTATGAAAATAATTTTTCCACATGTATTCTTAATTTATTTTTTGTCAATGGTTAAAATAATTTTCTTCAAATATGTCCCTACTTAATTGCTTTTTGTGTAATTTCTATAATATCAAATGTTATCTTTACACATATTTTTTTTAAAATAAATTCAATTTCTCATTATTTAGTAAATAATAAACTTTTTAGGTGTCTTCAATATGACAATACGTGCAGAGCATGTTAAAAAACTAGTTTTTAGAAATAAGACAAACATTTTATGTTGTTAATTCTTATAGATTTTCCTTATATAGATATATTATATGTTCATCTCATTATCTTATTTTCACACAACTATATATAGGGACGAGTTTTTAATACTCATGTTCTCATCGGTAGTTACCATTAAATGTAGAAATTTAATGATATGGCGTCATAAGAATTCAATATTATTAATTGTTATCAATTTTTTTAATCAACCATCTAATTTATTATAAATCAATATCTTTATACTAAAACAATAATACTCATTAATGAATAAATATTACATTATCCATTAAAACCACACCCATATATATTTTGATGAAATCATTCTCAAGTTTTAAAAGAGACCATTAATACTTTTAAGTTCAAAAAGAAAAAAAAATCAATACTATTTGAAAAAAAAGAGCACTCAAGAGTATGGTTAGAACTTGTAAAATATTTTTTATTTTTTTGAATGAAGAACTTTCAAAATAGTTAAAAATAAGAATTTTTAAAACATTAGCAATTAGTTATATCAAAAGATTTTTTTTGTTGCAAATTAGTTATATCAAAAGATGCTAGTATAGTATAGTTTATGAAAATGAATTTTTTTAATCCTTTTTTAGTCGTCTCATGTAAAATTTAAATTTTAACATTTTTTTACAGTAACAGTAATTCTATTTAAACTTTTAAAAAGGAAAAACAATAATTTTTTAAGTTTTTCTAATTTTTCCTAATTATCCATTCATGTAAAAAAAAAAAAAAAAAGAAAGCCGCTTCGGCCAAAATAAAAATAATTTCTTTACTAGATCATATATAAATGGATACTTCATGAATTTCTTAACCTAATCTCTCTGTCCTCTCCTTTCTGAAGTCAAGTCATAAGAAACCCTAGATCATGGCAGGAATGTACGGTCAAGACGCCGGAGATGGCGCCCCTCCTCCCTACGGAGCAAGTGGCGGCGGCGGTGGATATGGTGGTTCTGGAGGAGGCTACGGCGGCAAGGGCGGAGATGGCGGTTACGGTGGCGGCGGAGGTCGTGGAGGCCGAGGTGGCGGCGGCGGCTATGGTGGTGGTGGAAGAGGTATTTATCTTCTTCTTCTTTGTCCCTTCAGTTCATGTGTGAATTCTTCATTTGTTTTTTCGTCTTATTTTGTATTTGATTGCAGGTGGTGGCGGCGGAGGATATCAAGGAGATCGTGGAGGCAGAGGCGGTGGTGGCCGAGGTGGTCGCGGTGGAAGCGGCAGAGATGGCGATTGGGTTTGCCCTAACCCTAGGTAAGTCCTTTCTTTTCCTTGTCTTTAATTTTTTTTACCAAGTTTTTTACTTCTTTTGTCTATTTTAGTAGATCTTTCTATGGTCTTAGGATGTGGGTGTTGGAAACTGAAAAGTTCAGATCTTGCTTTGTTTCATGTTGTATTCTGACTAGTATACATGTTATTGAAACTGGTTTATTTGAAATGTAGTTGTGGGAATTTGAACTTTGCTAGAAGAGTTGAGTGTAACAAGTGTGGTGCTCCTGCTCCTGCTGGAGCTGGTGACCGCGGCGGTGGCGGCGGCGGCGGCGGCGGCGGCAGTGGTTATAGTAGAGGGGGAAGTGGTGGAGGAGGATATGGAGGAAACCGGGGAGGTAGAGGTGGTAGTTATGATGGTGGTAGAAGTGGAAACTATGAAGGGGGTAGAGGAAGTAATTATGAGGGAGGTAGAGGTGGTAATTATGATGGTAGAAGTGGGGGCAATAGAGGTGGTTCCTATGGTGGTAACCAAGGCAGAGACGAGGGTGGGTATGGTCAGGTTCTGCCGCCTGCTGCACCCCCATCATATGGTGGGACTGGTGGGAATTATCCGCCATCGCACAACAGTTATGGGGGGAATGCCAATTATGGAACCGAAGCAGTCCCTCCTCCAACGAGCTATACTGGTGGACCTACCTCGTATCCCCCATCCTATGGTGGTCCTTCAGGTGGCTATGGTGGTGATAATGTAGGTGATGTGAGGAGCGGTGGCCGGAGCGGGGGCGG